ATCTTTTCATTTTTCCCCCAAAACAAACAAGAGACCATGAGAAAAGAAATATGTTAAAACGAGATTGTGAGCCTTACTATGCATTCATTCCTTTCCACCAAATATATACAAATTAACTTCCAGTCTGAGTGAATTTGCATACATTTCTCAAAGGTAAAAGCTTTTTACAAACCAAATTGTTTTAGTGTTTTTGTATATCATAAATTTATTAACATTTCCTACTTTTAATCTTGAGCCTCTTCTGAATTTCAATAATACTGTCATTTGAACTTTCTTCACTGAAAAGAAAAATTATGTTTGAATAGAAAAAAATGTATCTCTTTGCCTTTGTAGTGTTATTAATGAGAAAAACAAGAAATTATCATGAAGCAAACTTATGATATTTTACAATAGCATTTTTAATGTAATTCTTAAGTCCCATAAATCTCCTAGGTATTATATTGGCATTAGTGCCAGGTGTTATTTCACCTCTCTAAATCTGTGTCTGCACTAGTGGGATATAAAGGTCATTGCAGCTGCCTTTGCCTACCTTTTCCTTTTCTTCCCGCCTGGAGCCCAGATGAGTGTTCAGAGGTGAAGAGGCTACTAACAATCATGAGCAAGAGGGCTATGGGCTACAGACAGCAGAGTAGGGAGCAAGAGTCACTTGGGTTCCCAAAGGTATCACTGAGCCTCCACTCCAGTCCTAAACTGCCCATCTCCTCCCTACCTCCTGTCACTAGCAAAAGATGCAACTCTCAATTTCTTTAAGGCACAAGGGGTCTGATTTCTCATAATCCAATGCAATTCCCCAAAATGATAAATACTATTACTTCGGGTTGCTCTACCTAAATCATAAATTTCTTGAGAGTGAGAGTCATATCATACCTCTTTAGTACTTCTGCAGTAACATAGAAATGTGACCAAAACAATAACAACAATGATAATAATAATAAGGACTAAAGTGCAGGAAAGCTCCTAGCCCACACTGGGCTTCGAAATATGTCCATGGCTTCCTGAAATTGAAACAGCTCTTTTTGTGTTGTATGCAGGTACCTTGTAAAATGCATTATATTCATTAGCTATTGCTGCATAATAAATTACTACAAAACTTAATGGCTGGGAAAAAATGAATGTTTATTATTGTACATTTTCTGTAAATCAGGACTCCAGGAGAGATTTAGCTCAGAGACTCTATGAGTCTGCAGTTGAGGTGTCAGTCAGGGCTGAAGTCATCTCGAGGTTTGAGGTTTGACTAGGGGAGATTATGCTTCCGTGCTCATTCACTGGGCTATTAGAAAGACTCCCAAGATCTGCTCCCAAAGTCATGCACACGGGTCCCCTCACAGGGCTTTCTCATGACATGGCAGCTGGCTTCCCTAGAGCAAGCAATAGGATGACAGAGAGAGAGAGAGAACCCAAGCCAGATGCCACAGTTTTTCGATGACTTCGTCTCAGAAGTGGCCCCCACTAGTGCTGCTGTATTCAATGGAAACAAGTCAGTAAGTCTGGCTGACACCACTGAACCCAGAGGACATGCGAAGGAAGGGAATTATGCAGGGAAGTGAACCCAGGGAACACTGGGGCCATCTTAGTGGGTACCTACCACTCAAATGGGGATTTAAAAACCTGCTATAAAGGTACTTAATAAATCACTCCTGTGAAATTTTATAGATTTTTAACAGTGAAGATCAATCAGAATCCACTCTTTGATTCATAATGTTTTCTCTTAATGACCTCTACTCAACAGAGAGAGAGAGAATTAACAACCTCTTACACTAGAGTATACATTCTAGATATTTATCATCACGATGTTTTCCCAGGATCTAGCAATATCATTTTGGGGTAATTCTGAGGTGCAGCACCAAAGGCAGCCCAAAGGCAGCCATGGCAGTGCCTGCTCATCATCTCCTACTATCTGCTCTTCTTCTTCCAACTAAGTAACATGGTTGGGTGCAGGTGTCAGTCTGCCTGGGCTACCATAATGAAGTGCCACAGTCTGAGAGGTGTGAGCAACAGACAGTTATTTTCTCTCAAGGGTAGAAGTCATGATCAAGGTGCCAGCAAACTGGATATCAAGAAAGAGCTCTTCCCAGCTTGTAGATAGCCACGTTGTCTCTGTATCCCCTCATGGCCTTTTCTTTCTGTTCTCTCTTCTCTTATAGACACCAATCCTGTTGTGTTAGGACTGCAATCTTATGACTTCATTTAATCTCCACCACCTCCTCTCTAAAGGCCTTATCTCTGAATTACTATCAATCACCTTGGGGGTTAGGGCTTCAGCATATGAATTTGGTGGTGGTGGGGGGACCCAATTCTTTTCCTAGCAGTATGTGATTATTTAATGTGAAGAATACACTTCCCAGCCCCCTTTGAAGCTGGGTCACTAAGTTCTTATCAGTGAGATGGAAAAGGAAGTGCCATGTGATGTCGATGTTTCTGGCAATCTTCTTCAAGAAATGACCCTTTGTTCCTGCTTCTCCATCTGTTCCCTTCCCTCCATCTCAAGACCTGGAACAAAGACTATGAGGACAAGGGTCACACCTCTGGAATGGACCAAAAGTGTCTGGGTTCCTGAGGACACTGGGGGCCAGAGGTGCCCTAAGCTGCCTATCTCTTCACTCTTAGGAGAGTGAGAAATACTATTCCATTGTATGTAGATCACTACCCTTTTACCTGAAGCTGAAGGTAATGCTAATTAATACACCAGATTTACATAGCTACAGTGGAGATGTCATGTAATTACCAAATGCCTTGGGGGAGATTTGAATTTACATTGTCAAGTGGGAAGAAATTTTATAGTTTATGTGAAGTAGGGGTTTACAAACTAGATGTCCATTTGCAAAAACCAGCATAGTGTTTAAAACAGTTTTTAACTCTTTTAACTGGGGCTCTCCTGGCTCCACTCTGCCTCGGGCTCCAGCACCCCCTCCCATGTATAGCAGCCCTGCTTTGCACATTTCATCACCTGTCTGGCTTTGTACATATCAGAAATTGCAATGATTGATTTTTCTAATCCAAACATCTCATTTTATGGAAAGAAAACAGAGACACAGAAAAGTAAAATAACCAGAGATTATGTAAAAGTAAATACTAGTATTCAGGGCTAAGGACTCCCAGTTTAGGTCTCTTTCTATTGTTAATGCACAAATTACTCAATTTAAATTTCGCCAGGAAGAAATGCCAGTGGGTAGACCATCCCCTCTGCATTCCTGCAGCTCCCCTGTGGGCCTAGCCCTTTTCTACCATGACAGCTCCATGACCTGGGCTGGTGAGAGGACGCCATGCCCTGCAATGGAATTCCCAGATGATTGTTGAAGGCATCTCCACGCTAGACTGTCTAAATCTTCCCTCTACTTGCAGGGACCTGGAGAGGCTGCATGTCTATCTTGTGGCAGTCCTATCAGCACTCATTTTTTATCACACAGATTGAGGGACCAGTGTATTGCATGTTCAACCCTCTGTCATCTCCAATCACATTAATGTGATATCATTTTTACTCTATTAGAGTGCCTTAACAAAAACTGAGGTGTTAGATCATTGCAGCACCTGTCAGGGGGTTGCAGATAGTTATTTAAAATATTGGATTAAACCAGTTTTATGACATTAGTGGCAGCAACTTGTCCCTGCAGACTAAGTTCATTCATTTGCACAATGTAAATGAAAGTGTCACGTGCAGGCTATTGTTTATAAAAAGTTCCCCTTACAGACTTATGGAATTTAAAAATTCTAGCATCAAGAGGAGTTTGGAGACCATTAAAGACCATGTTGCAGTATTTCTCTCCTCACCTTTCAAGGTCAAGGTCACCAGCCCCCTTCTCTATAAAGGCTTACTAAGCTTCCCCATTTATATGGGTAAACCTAGATACTTTGACTATTTTCAAATAGGGTATTAAAAGTATCATAGTCTATACCGTAATCTAACTGCATCTGTATTTGTTATTTCCTTGACTAAACTATAGACCCCTTGAAAGAATAAGGATAATCTTCTCTTCCTCTCCTCCATAGCATCCAGCATCAAGCTTTTCATGTACCAAGAACATGTAACAGAGTAGTCACCCCATAGAGATGAAAGCATAAAATTGAGAGTGAGGAATATGTAACAGAGGAAATAGTCTGGGAAAAAAAGGGCAAAGGTTTTTTTTTTTTTTTTTAAATTTTCCCCCCTTTTTTTTGGAATTTAGACCTGGAAATCTGCCTTGGGCAGGTGATGGGGAGGGGCAGGGGAATGTCTTTTGTTCTTTGTGCTGCAGGAGATAATTGCTCAATAAATGATCAGTTCCATCCCAGGCTCAGTGCCTGTGCAGAGGAGGTTTGAGTGAGCCCCCAGGTGGGCAGAGGTCATGGCTTTGTCTTCAACAAAGATGGAATGATTAGAATTATTAATTATAAGCCTAGAACTGAGGGCCTTCCCTTTAATAGCTCTGTATTTCTGCTTATGTATAGGAATTTGGACTTTGAGATGATAGTCTGCCATTTTTCTTCTTAGCTGTCCAAGTAATAAACTTCTCTTTCCTTCTCCTCAAACCACTTGTCCTTGTTCTTCTGAAACAAGTACCAACCTTTCGGGAACACAGTGTTTATTGACTGATGGTCTACTGTAGTTTTTGTTGTTGTTGTTGTTGTTGTTAACAGATGGATAAAACAATCCATGTAAAATAGCTATTCAGCAGAGAAAAATTATTTAGTCACCTCTCCAGAACAGAGAAACAGTTTCTAGAACAGAGAAACAGTTATTGTACAGAGAAACAGTTTTATTCATTGTTTATAAGGATATATGCAGATCTTAAATTAATATTTTAAGATTAGGCCTTCAAATCCAAATATGACATGTGAAGTTATCAATCTGGAATTTGAACACATTAGTTTGAAATTACATCATTACTAGGTGACTAAACACAAAATATTCACTTTATCCCAGCAGGGCTCTAAAGTGGTGATGAAATAATAGGGGAGGAACGTTTATTTTTTAAATGCCTGTTAAAACCTACTAGTTTATTTTCCATACTAACAGGCTTTGTGGAAAATAGTCACTGGCAATGATGACCTCTGTTGAGTTGATGCTACAGCAACACCAGCTTCAGGGAAACTCCTGAATTACATCAAAGTGGAACGTGACTCCAAGGTAACAACCAGTTTTTAATGTTGATGATTGCACCAGCCTCCTGCTTAAATAGTTTCCATTTTCTCTTAATATGGGATGTAAAAAGTTTAGAAGAAGGCATATGAAGTTGGCTTCCTGCTCTGAGGTTCAAGAAACTAAAAATGTATAATTTAACACATTTGAACAAGTTTACTACAAACTGATGAAGAAATATAGCATAGCACCCCCTCAGAAGTTGCCTTCTCTCTGCCCTAATGGAAAATACCCACTGCCCTGACTTTCATGGAAAGCTCTTCTTTGTCTGCCTGTACTTGGGTCATGTGAGCATGCACATCCCCCAATCCTGTGGCTTAGTTTCACCTGTTTTGAAACAGTTTTTCTCAACATTATGTTTGTGAAATCCATCTGTGTTTTTGTTTCTAGCTATAAACGTATTAATGTTCAGTGCTGTTTATTATGTCATTATATAAATACACCCAATTTATTTATCCATACTATTAATTATGACAATTTTTTTCCTGTTCGAGATAATAATAATGCTGTTAAAAGCATTCTTGGGTTGTGTGGATAGACATGAATATAAGTATCTACAGATACAGTATATATATGTGTGCATAAAATATACATATATATATTTCTTAGTGTACATATGCATACATTTAGGGGGTATATTTCTAGGTGTTTAATTTCTGGATCATAAGTTTGATTTATGTTTGACTTTAGTAATTCCAAAGCATTTTCCAAAGTGGTTCTACCAAGATAATACAATCATTAGAAGTGTATAAGAGTTAATATTGCTTCTGTTTCTTGAGCACATCATCAGTCTTTTTAAATTTCAGACACTCTGGAGATTATGTGCATAGTATATTTGTGTGTGTGTGTGTGTGTGTGTGTGTGTGTGTGTGTGTGTGTGTGTGTGTTGGATGCCCCTGATCATGAATGAGGTTAAGAATGTTTTAATACATTTTTCAGCTTCTTTTGAGAGTAGGTTTTACTAGTCTCTTACTCATTTTTTGATTGGCTTGTCTTTCTCTCACTGATGTCTAAGACTTCCTCATATATTTTGATATGAAATTTGGGGGGTTACATGCATTACAAATATATGCTCCAACTTTGTGATATTTATTTTCATCCCTATTGAATGACTTTGAAAAACAGAATTTCTTAAATTTAAAATCATCACTCTATTTCATTTAAATCATATGGCTGTCTATCTTTGTAATAACGCTTTATCTTAAATTTTACAAAGTCTTGATGTCTAGTAAGTTCTACTGTCTTGCTATTCTTTTTCCAATAACTTCTTAGCCATTCTTGGCCTTTTGCATTTCATAACAATGGTAAAATAAAACAATAAAGTTCCACAAAACTAAAAGTTGAACAAACCAAGAGACCTGGTTTGTTCAGAGAAGCTGTAAAGGCCTGTTGTATCTCACTGATCTATCGTATTTGGTGTACTCAGTCCCCAAATTTCAGAGCAAGTGCTTGGTATGGTAACACATTTAGTATTACAGTTTTGAGTGGTGATGGCTTTCTCAAGCTCATCTAATCGTCCTGTTTTCTTTAGCTTCTTCACCAGACTTGGTACAATTGTACTGAAACTCTAGATCAATCAGTTTGGAAGCAATTGGCATATTCATGAAATTGGGCCTTCCAATCCACAAACATAATATGTTCCTCCATTCATTTCTTCCTTAATTTCCCTCAATAAGGTTTTATAATTTTCCATGTAGAGGTTTTGAATACCTTCTCTTAGATGCAGTTTTAGAGATTATTATGTCATCATAAATGGTTATCTTTTTAATTATAATTTTTTAATGATTTGTTGATAAGTAAAAATGAAATTTACTTATGAATATTTTATATATTATATATGCACTTTGCATATTTATTGCTATATATTTGTATGCTGTTATGGACTGAATGACCCAAAATTCATATGTTGAAGCCATAATGATGGTAGCCCAATATGATGGTATTTGGAGGTGTGATCTTTGGGGGGATAGTAAGTTTAGATGAGATGATGAGGGTGGGGTCCTTCTGATGGGATTAGGGCCCTTAAAAGAATAGAAAGAGAGAGAGAAAGGCCTCCACCCAAGGCTGTGTGAGCATATAAGGAGAAGGCAGCTATTTCGTAAGTCAGGAAGTGGATCCCCACCAAGAACCATATCAGCCAGCAATTTGATCTTGGACTTCGAGCATCCAGAACTATGAGAAGTAAATGACTATTGTTTAAGCTGCCCAGACTGTGGTGTTCTGTTAAAACAGCCTGAACTGACTAAGACATACATATGCTGTTCAGCTCTCTTGCTGAACTAACTTATTTATTATAATAATTTATCTGAGATTCTTTTAAAATTCTTCATATATAATCCTATTATATCACATTACAATGGCTTTTATATTTATCCCTTTACAATTAGTATACCTCTTATTTATTTTTCTTACCCTACTATATTATTCAAGTACAACAAGTACAATATTGAATATAAACAATGACAGCAAAACTCTTTGTCATTTTCTGATCTCAAAGGGAAGACATACACATTTTACTCCTAAATATGGTATTTTCTGTAGGCTTTTTATGGATTCTTTTCAAGTTAAGAAAGTTTTTCTTTATTCTCAGTCTGTTGAGTTTTCCTAAAATTATAAATGCATGCTGGATTTGATTTAGAAATTTCTTTGTCTATGCAGATGATTTTATGATTTGTCTCCTTTATTCTATTAATATGATAAATTACATTGCTTGATTTTTCAAATGTTAAATCAAGTTAACACTCCTAAAATATCCTCAACATATCATAATAGATTATACTTTTTTATAATTTGCAAGATTAGATTTGATATTATTTTGTTTAGAAGTTTTATATCTATGTTGATGAGTAAAAATGACCTGTAATGTTCCTTTCTCACAATTTCCTTAACAGTTTTAATAACAAGATTACACTGGCATCTTAAAACCTTTTCTGGAAGGTTTCCTCTATTTTTTTCCTTATTTTCTAGAATGATTTGTGAAAGATTGATAATATTTACTCTTTAACTGCTTGGTAAAACCCACTGGTGAGCCATCTGGACCTGGAGTTTTATTTGTGGAAAGGTTCATAATTACTCTTCAATTTATTTAAAAGGATTATTAAGGTTTTGTATTTCTTCATTAGTCATTTTGATAACTTACACTTTCCCCAAAATTTAACTATCCATAAAAATTTCCAAATTTATTGAAATAAATTTGTTTATGATATAGTGATATTTTCAATGACTATAGATTTTTACCAAGGTCTCCTTTGTCATTTCTGTTATTGCTGTCTATGCCCTCCCCTTTTTTTTCTAGATCTGTTTCCACAGGTGTTATTAATGTTACAAGTATGTTCTAATGTATTATTTATTAGTTATTACTATTTTAATTATTCATTATCCTACCTTTTTGCTTTTTTGTTTTCTGTGTTTAAAATATTTTCAGCTCTTTATTCTTTTCTTTCCCCCAATTTATTTGGTTTTTATGGTGATTCTTTTTTCAAATGTTTGGCTTGAATGTTTAATTCATGGATTTTTAAAACCTCTTTTCTAATATAGGTAGTTAAGGCTATATATTTCTAAGTATGGCTTTCGTTGTATTCCACAAGTTTTGATATATGTATATATAATAATTTTATAATTTATTTTCTAATTTTATAATTATTTTTCTTTGGTACATGGATTATCTAGAACTGTATTTTTTTTTAAACTTCTAAACATACAGGGACTTTGTATTATCTTTTTGTTATTCCTTTCTAGCTTAATCTATCATGGTAAAAAATATATGCTGCATGATTTCAATCCTTGAAAGCCCTGAGGCTTGCTGTGTAACATTATATTGTTCAAAGCATGTACTTCCCTGCCTCTGATGCCCCTCTGTGCAACAGAAGTATACTTTCTGCACTGCTGCTGTAGGTCTTAAGGATGTAACCTATTTTGTCCAGCCAAGTGTGCATGGCAGTGACATGATATTTCTGAGATCTCTTTTCCCTCTTCCAAAAGATTGTCACTGTCCCAGACAGAGAAAGCTGTGCCAGCCTGAGCCATGGAATAAAGAAGGCATGGAGAACGGTCAGAGGCTTCTGTCATTTGAGCTCATTTTGACTAATGAATAATCTGGTGTGGTGGGAAGATATTAGGATATCTCTCTGTGATGTCTATCTCCTGGCATTCATGCCCTTGTGTAATCCCTTACTTTGAGAATTTAGAGACTTGTTTCCTGAAAATAAAATGCAGCAAAGTTAATGGGGTGGCACTTCTGAAATTAGGTTACAAAAAGACCATGGCTTCGATCTTGTCCATCTTCTCTTACCACCATCTGTTTTTCTTGTTTTCTCTTTTATTTCTCTCTTTCTGTCTGTCTCTATCTCTCCCCCACCCATCTTATCTATCTTCCATCAGCAATTACCATATCATGAGGAGGCCCAGGAAGCCGAGGCAGAGATTCTCATGGTGAGGAACTGAAGTCTGCCAGGACAAGTGAGCTTGAAAATGGATCTTCTGAGCCAGGCACATAAGTGAGCTGGGAAGTGGGATTCTTCCACCCCAGTTGAGCCTTCCAATGATTGCATCCTCAGAAAATAGCTTCACTTTAGCCTCATGAGATTATAAACTAGAACCATCCTCTTTAGCTTCTCCTAAATTCCCAGCCCACAGAAACTGTGAAATAATAAATGTTCATTGTTTTAAGCCACTGAGTTTTAGAGTAATTTATTATACAGCAATAGCTAAATAACACATTTGGTACCAGAAATGGGGTGCTATCATTAATGCCTAACAAATGCCTTAAAATTTGAAAGTAGCTTTGGAAACAGACAGTAGATTAAGGCTGGAAAGATTTTTAGAAACATATTGGAGAAGTGTAAATTTCCTTAAACAGATTGTTAGCAGCACTGTGGATTTTGAGAACACAGTCAGTGGGGAGTTATAAGGAAATAGCAAGCTAGTTATTGAAAACTGGAGGAAGAAGGATCCTTGTTAAATACTGATGGGCAGGTTTGCAACATCATCACCTGCAGTAACATGGAAAGTAGAACATGTGTCACGTGAACTAAGGAGTTTTCCAAGCAAATTGTTGAGGTATCATGTGGTTTCCCTTTGCTGCTCATAGTAAAATGCAAAGGAAGAGAATTAAATTGTGAGAAGGACTGTTAGTCACTAAGAAACCAGGATTCTGAATTTGAAAATTCTCAACTCCTAAAGATGCTAAAATTAAGAAATGGCTTCAGAGTAAAGGTCAAGCGCGTAGTCAGCACAATATAATCTAGAGATGGAGCCCTGGATGGGATTATAAAATCTTCTCAGACTTAAGAAAGATGAAAGTTGGTACCCAGAGTACCATTTATTTCCACAAAGGTCCTTTAAAAAGATTAAGGGTATACCTCAAAAATCCTCTCAAGTGAACAACAGAACCTCTAAAAAGTTTAAGGCCATATTCGAAAAGGATTTGGAGGTATGGCCATTATCTAATGGAGTGAATTTCAAGGAAATTCTAAAGAGGCCCACAAGGTTTTTGAGAGTTATGTTAGGACTATCAGTTTGGACTGAAGCAGTCAGACAGCATAAAAGAGGCATTTGGACCCCCAGAATTCTAATGGCAGGAAACAGGCTGAGAAAACTACTCAGCTGCAAACAAGTGCTACATTTCATGAAAAAGAAGAATGATATACAGGATGGAATCAATAGCTATAGAAAATATTTTCCAGGTCTTGAAATCTAATTAAGGAGCTTCCAATATTTTTTCCAGATAGATTTCAAAATTGCTATGGACCAGTGACTTCTTTATGGCCTCCGTTATTTTTTTCTTTCTTTCTTTCTTTATTTTTGAACAATAATATGAATAGCAATTTTCTTATGCCTGTCCTACCATTTTATGTTGGGTATGTGCAGGGACAGATAACTTATTTTCTTATTTTCACAGATTTACAGATAGAGAGGAGCCACAGTTGAGGAGTTGTACATAAAGAAATATACCTGAGGAACTTCATGCACCCCTGGACCTGATTCCAATAATGACACTCTGAATTTTGAACTGAGGGTATAATGGTATGAAACTTTGGTGGACATTGAGAGAGTATGAATGTATTTTGTATATGAGAGGAACAGTAACCACTGGGGGTCAGAGGGAAGATTGTGTTAGGCAACCTGTAAGATGGCCCCCAAATACCTACAGCCCCTGGTATTCATTCCCTTGTGTGATTACTTCTCACTAAGCATGAACTGGAATTAGTGTTTTGGTTCTATTGCATAGAATGCCACAGCATCCACAGAATGTTACTTTCAAAAGCACATATCAAAAAAAGGTCATTTGTTTTGTCTTGGGCACCTTCTTGTTCATTTGCTTGAAAAAACCTGCTGCCACATTGTGAGATGTCCTATGTAGAGGCCTACATGACGAAGAACTTATATCTCTGGCCAAAAGCCTGAGGCCTGAGGCCAAGAACCTGAGGCCTCCCAACAGTGATGTGAGTGATCGTAGAAGTACATCCTCTTTCAGTCAAACCTTGAGATAACTGCAGTTATGACCCATACCTTGATTACAGTCTTGTGAAATATCTAGAGCTAGAGGCACCCAGCTAAGCCATCCCCTGATTCTTAAACCACAGAAACCATGAGATAATAAATATTTATATTATAAGGCATTGAGTTACAGGATGATTCGTTCTAAAACAATAGATAACTAATATACCTAGTCTTGCCCAAGCAAACTGATAATATTGCTTTATGGTCTAAATACAGTAATTTTTAAAAATGTTACGTGCATGCTTAATAAAACAATAAAACCACACATGTTGCAACTGTTGAATAGCTTCTCCATCTGTAGACAACTGGCAGTCCCTGTCCCTTCAAATGTTGTTTCTGTCCCATTTCCTCCTCTTTCTTGGGGGATTCCAATTAAACATATATTGAAACTTTACAGTGTAAACTCTATGCCCCTTACCCTCTTTCCTAATTTTTCTAACCTGTTGTCTTTCTGTGCTTCAATCTCATTTCTTTTGAGTTATCACCCAATTCATTCTTTTTCTCTTTAGCTGTGTCTAATATGTTATTAAAACCATCCACTGAGTTTTAAACTTTATTTATTATATATTTAAGTATCAGAATGTCCATCTGTCACTGACAACTCCAATATCCAGAACTCCTAGATAGTCTTGGCTTTCTTTTTCTATTGTTTTGTGTTCAGAATATTTTATATGTGCAAATTTCAATCAGATAAATTAATCATATTTTGACTGCTTTTGGGTATTATCTGGGATTATTTTGCTAAATTGCATGTATAATTAACTATAGGACTTTATAGATGATTGATGTTTGATTTTGCTATATTTTTGGAGACTCTCACACTTGGGAGATACTTCAATTTCAGTGATTGAAGTGTCATCCTCATGAAGGCAGAAGGCATTTCCCTTCATTTGTGGCTTTTAAGGGTTCCAATCCAAAGCTATGGTGGTTCACCAGGAAGCTCCCTCTTTCAACAAATCCTGGATACCAATCCATGTTGGTATAGTCCATGGAGCTTGTCAAAAGCAATGCTCACTGTCTCCTCATTTCAGTCTCTCCCTTATAAATCATCACTTGTCCTTGGAGAAATGATGGCCAAAAGCCAATTTCACTTCTTGGACCTCTGTTCTCCCTTTAATTCCAAACCAAAGTACAGGTGATTATCTCAATACTAAATCATTAATAGTGCAAGAGGATAGGAAGTGACATTTGTGAGCAACTACTAGATGCTACATGTTTGCTACATGGCATCTCACTTATTCGTCACTTTTTAAACTAATCTGTAAGGCATTTGTTTTGTCCTTACTTTTATGGATGAAAAAGATTCGCAGTGATTAATGACTTGCCCAGGGTTACAGTTAGCAAAGAGCAGAAACAGAATTTGTATCCCAAGTGTGTCTGATTTCAAAGACACGGTTTATACTATACTCTCTATGCTGATCCCTCATCAGACTTCCATTAGGGTTAGAAAGAAGAAATATTGTTAACAGTTTATATGTAAATAATACAATGAAAAATAACCTACTTTGATGAAACATATACTACTTATATGTCCTAGAGTTTTCAACTTTAGAAATCACTTATTTAATATTTCTGTATTATGTACTCATCTGAATTTGCTAAGCCTCTGACAAACTGGCATTTCTGCTTCTTATTACATACAATATTTGTAAAAAAGGAAGAAATATGGTCATACTTGGAATATTTTGTCAAAAATAAGCTATACTTGTGCTATTCAAATAGTGGTCTGCAGACAACCTGGTCTGCTAGTTGTTACCAGTCCATGAAGAAAAAGGGACAGAAGAAACATTGAAAGTGAGCATTCAGAAACCTCTAGTGCAACTAGACATTGTCAAGACATTCAAGTGTGCAACCAGTGAACTCCTCTGATTGGACAAAGCTTAGACTTATCTGGGTGTTGCTGAGCTGATACACTGAGTCACATGTAGCATTCACATGTTAATCAGGCACAATAAGACACAGTAGGACATCGATTCATAAATCACCAAAAACTTTTTAAAAAAATGTCTTTGCAGCAAATAAACAAAAAGCACTGATCATTTGCAAGTGTTAGACAGGGAAAAAACCCACACTGGGGCCTCATGGCTGAACTCATTGCAGATTGGACATATGTAAAGTTTGTTGCTGATTGGATGCTTTTGATTCTCACCGCTGATTGGATAACTCCTTATGCTCATAGTTAATTGGTTGTGTGTAACCCCAAGAAATGTATAAAACTGGAGAAAAATAAGGAAGCAGGGCTCAGAATTTGGTGGCATGCCTCTCTGAGCCTGCTGGTGAAATAAAGGCTGATTCTCCAACTGTCTGTGTGCCGCTGGGTTCTTTTCCCCCGCCGGTCGCTGTAACACTCACTGTAACATTAGCTTATGTTCTACTCTGGGTGGGAGCCCTTGCTTTTTTTTCTAAATAAAGTCACTCTCACAGTGGCTGGTGGTTTGCAGATCTCGCTCTCAAGCCTGTAGTGTAAATGCACCCCAAGAGCAGTCCTAGGGACAGGAGAGGAATGAGGTCGAGCTGTTCAGACTATAATACTAGACTGGCTCAAGGGAAGCCATTTTTGCCTCCAGTATGCTTTTGGCTTCTTCTATGTTAAAAGTTCAGAATTAATCTGCTGCTTGCTTACACAACTGCCAGGCACAAGATTAGAAAACAACCTTGAGTAAAAACAGATAAAGAGTCCAGAATAAGCCACCCACAGCAAAAACCTTGCTTTCTGCCACCAACCCCCTTTTATCCCTTCTTTTTATAGGTTGCTCAGTAAGCAGAGGAGATAAGATGGTCTTTAAGATAATAGTGTGCCATCTCCTCCGGCCGCCAGCATTTGAATAAACCACCTTTCCTTCACCAATACTTGGTTTTTGTGTTTGTTTCTTGGGTGGTAGGCAGGCAGGGGAACCTGTGTTCCACAACACTGGGAGTCTGTGTGTGGGGCCAAGAGCCCTCTGGCAAGACTATATCCATGGAGGCTGTTCTCCAGTGGCTAAGTGGATAGGAAGGTGATACAACATGGAAGTGGGGGAAACATCCCTTGAAGCAACATTAATGAAGTAGAGATGATAGACTAGAGAGAGGTAGTAGATACATTCTTTTTGCCTTTCTCCCTGTAGGCAATAAGACAAGCTTGTTACAGAGTGTCAGCTCAGTAGCTCAATAACACTCCCTCAAAT